TACATATAGAACATAGCTCTAGTGCTTATAAATTCAATGCAGAGGTTACATATTATAGCCTTAAGCAAGCTTGATCAGAATCTCTCAACTTACTTTGTGTACCCAGAGCGAGCGCTCCTCAAAGTTCCCATTGCTGCTCAAAACTCATGATGCCCATGAGAAGAGTCCCAGCAGTATGTTCTACGGTAGGCTGCCTGCGTGATTGGTGAAATTGCTGGAGGGGAAACAGCTGATCTGAGGCCCTGCAGAATAAGCAAATGTTGATCTGTAACATTAGTATGCTAATATGGGGAATTGCTTTCTGCAGCCACATTTTATCTTGTTTTATCAATTTTTCTGTAAGCAGTCTTCAAAAACTTGATATCTCACACACACATACACAGTGCTGGAGGTCCAGTACCAGACACGTACATGTGAGCTTCTGCGTGCCCTTTTCTTTCCTGTCCTACAGAGTTTCACTGAAGAAATCATATGTTTCTAAATGTCAACCCTGCATTTAAAAACCCTGGGTGACTCCATTCCAAAATTGGGCTCTTCCACCTTATATTTAGTTCACCTTGATATAACCACACGTAGTCTAACCACTTGAATCCATGTTCCACACCCATCTGTCATTTCCAAATCGTGCTCCACCCTTAAACAGAGAGCTTGGGAGGGAACACACCAAGGGTGTGCCCCACCTAATGCTTCAACAGAAACATGGAGCTTCTATTTTTTACGAACGGCGTCTACATCTGCCCAGCTTTTTGTAAGTAGAAACATACTGCCTCTAATTTACTGTCAGGATGCCAGTCCACCTCATTATAGGCAGCCATTACATGGTCCAATTATATGTGTGTGTGTGTGTGTAAAATTAATCAGCCAGATTTTAACATATTGACAGTGACACCTGACACCAGTGAGGTTATGATGGAGTTTATCCATTTTAAAAGTGACCTTGTGTAGATATTTACAGGAAGAGGAGGTTACAGTTTATATTTTTAGACTGGTTTCGAACGCAAACATCTATTGTCTGTGTTGGTTAGGGTCTCATATTTAGCCATTTTAATTTTAACATTTATGTTATTTCACATACTGCAGGTGAAAGCAAAATGGAACTAGCAACACTAGCCATACCATTTTGGAGGATCTACTGGCAGAAATGGAACATATTATTTATAGGTAATTTTTCATTAGTGGATTATCACCTGAATATGAAAATTATGTTTTTGTTACCATAGACTTTTTTAAATCTACAGACGGCATGGGTCGCCTTCCATGGACATGTTGAACTGCCATATTTCAGTTGCCCAGAAGGGACAAACCCCATTGGCACTAGATAGGGCCTTTTGCATTTTTTGCACTTTTTGCAGCCATCATAGTTTCTCCTTTGTGCTTGGAAGGGGAGGATGAAGCGAGGGAGTTTCTGTCTGCAACTAGCTAGATGCCACTAAATCCTACACACTGGTCCTTTAAACAGTATATATCGAAATTGGTATTTTGAGCCAATTTCTAATGATATTGAATTAAAAATAGATTTTATTGAAGGCCTATACAGTGAGGCTAATGATAGTGACAGATGGTCTAAGCAGTGAGCAAAACAGTTGCTGGTTCATCATCATCCATTATTGGCAATTTCATAATGAAACAGTGTTACAATTTAGAATTTCTTAAAAGGTTTTATAAACCTGTCTATCACCTAGGCATCATTCTGGAGCAACTCTCTAATGTTCTTCTTGTTCCTACAGTGTGCTGTTTAAATACTGTCTGTGCAGAGTTTGACACTAGAAGGATGTTTCCACATTCATCTGCTGAAAGTGGAAGGTTTCTCTGTGCTCATTGAAAATTGTGACGTCACAAATAGTTTTGCAGTCATTTCAGGACTGACTGCCAGCAGGAAAAAATTAGAAATTAACAACATTTGCATATTCAGAGATTCTGGAACTTTTAATGAGGAAGTAGGAGCTGAAACATATTGTTGTGAGCAGACTATATGTTTTTTTGGAGGTAATCTTTAAAATTAAACAAATCAGTGAGAATCTATTTTTTTATATTATATATATATTACCAAATGAGCTAGGAGAACGTAATGTTACTGGTCTTAAGCTTTTAGCCTAAGTGTTTAATCTGAAATTTTGCTGAACACTGTAATGATGGGAGCTATGTTGCTTAAGTTTACGGTTTATGGTGAGTGCTGTAGTTATAATACTAACTGACACCACGGTATGTTCTCATGCAGCTTACTGTGGGAATCTATATTTCCACCCTCCTTCTGAGTGCATGTGTGGGCACATGCATCGACAAGTCACCCTAAATAAAAATCAACAGCTCGTGCCTTCTTATGAAATCTTGTAAAATATTCTCCCCCTCAGCTCCACACCCCTGTGAGCCATTTGGCGAAGTGAGGGAACCTACATTTCTGCCACTGCTCCTATCTCCTACTCCCACTCCCCAATTAACATTGGCAGATCATCCCCACATTTGTGCTTCGTACAAGAATTCTTGGCTGAGAGTCCAGGTGCAAGTAAACCCGACTCCAGACAGCAGCGCAATCAAGCACTGTTGTGAAACTGACAACCCAGCAGATAGGCAGCCAAGATCCATCAGTTGAGCCCCGTACCCCAGCACCGCATCATGTTCTGCGTCCCCCCTCCCCTCCCTGTGGTTAATCAACATATCCTCTCATTTGACTCAAATAGGGGG